TACCGCGGAGGCCTCCGAGGATGGCCTCGATTTTGGCGCTTCAATCGGCGGTTTTAGTTTTCAGTTTAAAGAGCTGCACAAGATAACACCGTACAGACGGGGCAGCGTCGGAGACGGCAAGCTGAACGCGATTTTCTTTAGAGGGGCTCAAGTGTGAAAATCGTTTAAACTCTCGACTGCTGCTTAGCAGCTGAAACATGTACTGTAAATGCGTCCGTGAGGTCTTCAGTGAACATACAGTCAACATACATTAATATTGAAGAAGGCTAAGATGTGTCCCCAGATCCTCACTGACTTTTATAGATGCACACTGACGGGTTGCATCACAGTGTGGTGTGGCAACTGCAGTGCTGCTGACCGCAAAGCCCTACAGCGGGTGGTGAGAACTGCCCAGTCCGTCACTGGGGTTGCTCTCCCATCCATCCAGGATATTCATGACAGACGATGCTTGAGGAAAGCTCTAAGCATCATCAAAGACCCCACACGCCTCAGCTACAGACTGTTTGACCCTCTACCATCTGGAAAACCGTCCCGGAACATTTGGGCCCGGACTACCAGACCCAGAGACAGTTTTTACCCCCGCACTATCAAACTCTAGAACTAATAAACTCCCGGCCTCTCTCACCTACGATCTGAACCTCACAGTGCCTTCTCTCTAACCAAAACTCAAACGCACATTGAAATCGACCCCTACCACACATGTCAAGAAGCTCACTCCCCATAAATTTCTATCCTTTATTTCATTCTATTGATGTATGATTTTGCACATCTGATGTTGTTTTGCACATTGCCTGTTGTCTCCGTCTTTCTTTTCTTACACAATCGTATTGTTGTTGTTTTGGTTTTTATTTGTACTTCTTACCGTCTGAGAGCTAGCTAAAGAGCATTTCGTTATACCATATACCTGTGTATGAGTATAATGACAATGAACTTGAACTATATGTAGTTATAAATACACCGAATGGCATTCTTTGTGGTATGGCACAGCTTTTTGGGGGTTTTCTCCATGTGATTGTGGAGAAAAGAGTTTCTTTGTATTCAAGTCTTAATCTTCCGTTGTGTTTGCATTCCAGATTTTCAGCAGGACAGTCAGGGGATCCAGAGCGGCATGAGATTCCGAGATCCCGAACATGGCCTCACTTCCACACAGCCTCCCTGCTGGGCCCCGGGAGCACAGGCGCACACAGTGAAGAAGGGCCTCGCCCAGCCACGCGAGGCGCCGGCTCCTCGGAAGAGTCGGCCCACGCAGGAGCGGACGCGGTTCGGGAGAGCCCAGCAATGCACTGCCCATCTTCTGCCAGCGTGACGCTGACATCGTCGCCGTCCTCCCCTGCCCTTTCTCC